TGTGAAATAAAGGAGAAGAAGGGAGGTTGGTAAAACAACAATATGAATATCTGAAAAAGCCACAAAGAATCATACTATTAACTATTTACCTAGACAAGGCAAGATGCTGAGAGTTACTCTCAGACAAGCCAAGCTGCAAAAAAGATCCTGAGACCAGAACTGCTGTCTGGAAGAAGATATAGACCAGGTAAGTTACTTGGGAAGGACACTCTCCAACCCGTTGAGCTGCCTGCAGGATGTGGAGTGTACTCTGGGTTTTCAGGTTTTGTGAGCTGTCATCCATGCTGGCATGGGCCTTGGTGATGTAATGGTCTTTGAGTCATTTCTGTTCCTATAAGTAATGCCCTCACCTATATTCCTGTAAGTAACCCCAATAAAACTCATGGCTTAACCAAGTTGGACTTTGGTGGTATCTGTACTTTGGTCTGTCATAGGTTCCTTATCTAGAGTGAGTAAGCATGTATGGTTGTCATACAGAAGTATGGCAATGGGCAGGCAGACATGACACTGGAGTGATATAGCTGAGAGCTTACTTACATCCTGAGCTGCAGTCAAGAGGCAGAAAGAGAATGAGGCTGGGCCTAGTGTCGGCTTTTGAAACCTGAAAGCCCAGTAACCCATCTTCTCTAACAAGACCACACCTACTAATCCTCCCTAAACACCCTATCAACTGAGAAACAAACATTCAAGTATATGAGCCTACAGGGACCATTCTCATTCAAACCACCATAACCCCAAAGGCGGAAAGTAAGTCCCTATTGACGAAGACACCATGTGTAGCAGGATAATCTCCTGCTACTGCTACAGTGTATATGCAGTAGAGCTTGGTGATTGGGCAGTATGAGAGGTAGGCGGAGTAAGGAGTTGGGAAAGGAGAGGGAGAGGAAGGGGAGGAGAGAAAGGAGGCTAGCAACGATGGGGAAGGACTCATGGGTTGAAAGCTGTCCTGGGTAGCTACTTATCAGAAGATTAGATATTGGGTAACAATTCCAATTGTGTGGGCATCTTGTTATTTGAACATTCTCAAATACATAAAAATCCATTGGATAATATTTAAGCTTTAAAGAGTCTTCATTCTACTGGGTACCGTGAGGATGGCGGATATTGTCCGGGGTTCAGCCGAGCGTTGTGAATGCAGCGTGGTGGATTGGCAGAGTCATCCCACATACAGCAGAAACAACAAAAGAACTAAAAGTGAAGGGGAGAATTGGTGGATGAGGAAGGGCACTGAGAGGTGAGAAGGGGCAAAGTACATCGTGTATATAAACGGTGTTTTCAAAGAGTGAAGACGTTCTAGCCTCCAGACATATAACAAGAAAAACGGCTGCTTTAATGGGGGAGGGGGAGCAAACTTTATGTAGGACCAGTCCCAGCCACCATTTTATTTCTGTGGGGCTGTATTTTTGTTTTTAAATTTTCTGTCATTTGATAGCATAGCATGTGAAGTATATCTTTACTACCTTTTTTTCTGGCTCTGAAACTTTTGTTTGACTGAAGAAAATTGGCTGCCCAACTCATTCCTCTAGAATATATATAATAATTATAATGTATAATATGTAACATATAATATATACTGTATACTATGTACTATATGGATTGTTATTTATACGGATGGAGTCTTTCAGTTGCGAAAACCATTGACTCGACAGCTCAATATTCCGCTCCTGTTGTATCTCATATCACCACCAGGAGGCGCCTAACACTTCTAATAATAAAAGGCTAGGACTATCATCCTAACACAGGGCATGGTGGTGGTGCACACCTGTAGGTCCTGGACTAAGGTGGCTACAACTGGAAGACGATGAGTTCCATAACAGCCTGGTGGGCTACCAGAGCTAGGCCCTCAAAAGAAGGGGATTCTAGACTTCCCCACTTCCCCTCAAATGAGTTTACTTTCTTAGGCAGGGTGGATGGTTGGTGGTTCGAGGATGTCTAGTGTTTCCACCATTGTGAAGAGACACCATGACCAAGGCAACTCTTATTGGGAAGGCTAGGCTGATTCCATGACAGGCTTCAGATTGTCAGTTAGGAGACTAGGCCTAAACCTCTGTTTCCAAGATCTGAGCAAGTCCAGGCAAGTCCAGGCCTCAGAAGCTGCCCAGCCACCTGGCCTGAGGCAAGGACAATGGGTCAGCAGGGGATTCCCCAATGTGCTTTAAATCAGGCCTGCAAGCTCACTTGGTTGTCTCTCTGTCTTGGTAATGAGGAGACCCCAGCATGTTGGACTTCTGCAGAATAAAATACTCTGTGTTTACAAAACATTTGAGTCCGGGTATCATTCTTCAGTGAATCATGGATTCTTACATTATAAAGGACAACATTTACTTGGGGCTAGCTTGGAGGTTCAGAGTTTCAGACCATTATCATCAAGGGAAGCATGGCAGTATCCAGGCAGATGTGGGGCTGGAAAAGGAACTGAGAGTTCTACATCTTGTTTTGAAGGGAACCAAACGACTGGCATCCTCAGGCAGCTAGGAGTAAGCTCTCAAAGCCCACCCCCAAAGTGACACACTTCTTCCGACAAGGCCACGCCCACTCCAACAAGGCCACACCTCCTAACAGTGCCACTCCCTGGACCAAGCATATTCAAACCACCCCAGGGGAGTTGTGTCTATTTAACAGGTTTGAGGAATAGTGGCAGTATTGCCTATGAGGACCATAGCCTATGCTTACCCATCACCAGCCTGAAGAGTCAATCACAAGATGAGTTCATGAAAAGCTTATTCCCAGAATCCTCCTTTCTCTAGTTCAGCTCGTCTCTTTGTAGTTTCACCCATGAGGTCACCTGTCCACCTTAACCCCCTTCTTCCCTGTCATTTCTTCCCCACATTCTCCCATACTTCCAGACTCTTGAAAGACAAGGCTTCTAGAACTCTCCAGTTCTCCCTGGTCTGTGAGCCTTCACATCTTTAGCATCTTAGCATGGCTGTTTGTCTTCGCCAATTCCAGTGCTCAGGCTTCATGCTGGCAAAAGCAGTTTGCCTTGCATTCAAGGATGTAAATCTCCTTCAGTTTGAAACCTGGCTGGAGAAAGGACTAGAAGGGCTGTCTCTTCAGCGGTCAGATTCACTGGTGACAATCTGCAGATGGAATCCACAGCCCAGTTCAAGTCTAAACACTTCAAAGGAGGCTGACAGTAGGCACATGGGTAATGTGTACAGCAAGGCCCAAACAGTATGAACTCCTGGACATTCTTCAAGGACAATTCTATAAAGGAAAAACCCCTCCTCCAAAATCATCCTTTCCTCTCTGGGCAACTTTCCTCAAAGATGTTAGGAAAATATCCAGAGATGGGGGGAGGACACCCTCTTATCCCCAGGCTCAACCAAAACTTCCTTCTGTACTAAGGCCCATAGTTCGAAAGCAGAATCTCTGCCAAGAAACCGTCTACATTTGGACACCAGAGATCACACACTGCATTGGGTTGGAAAGGAGAAAGTCATCTTTGGTATGCAAACATCCTGAGACATAAAACCTTAACTTCAGGAGCAAAGGGAGCTGCATAGGCTATGTCCAGTTCACGGGGGACATCCATATGTGGAAATTCGTGTAGCTTATCCTGTGGGCAATGTGAGGCTTTGTATCTCTAGAACGCCCCCCCCTCCCAACCCCAGTCAGTGCACTGCATGCTTTGCTACAGGCATGCTAAACCTTTGGTGATTAACTGGCTGTGCTGGAAATCAGTCTGATTGTGGTCTTTGCTCTTGGAGTTAAAGAAAGAGCCATTGCAATACTCTAGTCACTTCCATAGAATCCTTTCCCCCCATGTTAGGTAAGAATTGTAAAAACTGAAGTGAGGAAAAAAAATAGTATCAACAGACAGTTATGACTCCAGCTTCGCTTCTAGAGGAAAAATGGAGATTTCTGAAACCCAGGAAGGAGACAGGAAGGTAGAGGGTATGTGTGTATGTATGTATTGTGTACACACATGTATTAATATAACACAAGGCATCTTGCCCCTTCCCAAACCGTGCCCAGAACCTTTAGATACACAGGCACACAAAGCAGAGAAGCAAAGCATTTGCTGATGCCAATGAGACCTTATTAAGCCATGCTAGTTTGTGGTATGAGAGATTGCTGATCCTGGACACAGCAAGCCCCATCCTCCAGCAAGATAGATAAGTAATGCATGACTATGGTCCTTCTTGCAACTAGATCTCAGAAGTTTCAGAAAGGGTAGGGAGGAAGGAGAAACAAAGACTTGACTGTCCCATTTACACAGACAGGCTTTTTGGTTTTGTCTGATGAGGATTAGGAAGAAAGAGGCAAGGATTACTTCTAATTTACTGCCCCTGTCAAAACGCAGCTCCGAGCAAGGAAGCCAGCAAGTGGATCACGAAAGAAAACAAACCCAGAGAAAAAGAGAGCAGGGGACAAACCACATTCAATAATATTTATTAATTTGATTTTAAATGGAAAAGAGAACCATTCCAATGGTTTGACTTCTTCCTATGAACCCTGGAATTTCCCCCCAAACCTTGAAGTCCTAACTGTGAGGTAGATCAGAGCTGTTTTGTGCCTATTTTGAGAGATGGCCCAAGATGGCGCTTATAGAGCTGTAGTGAGGAGCCGGGGACAGAACCTCAAACTTCGTTGTTTTTTCCCTGGCTTCCTGCTCTCAAACAAACTAGAGACACAGAGGCTGGAGACCCAGAGCCTGGAGACAGAGCGATTTGTGAGACAGAAGTAGTTCATCGGGGGTTAGGAAAGCAGTAGGAAGGGAGGGAGGTAGGGATGCTTTCTTTGCCTTAAACATCCAGCACAAACATAGGCAGGGTGATGGGCACGCCTCCAAGGCCATAAGGGCTCCTCCCAGGGTAGTCAAGCACAGGTGGCCTGACATCCTAGCTGCTGAGGTAGTAGTGAAGTTCAAGGCGGGACTTAGACAACTTCTTTCAGAGAGGGAGAGAGAGAGAGAGAGAGAGAGAGAGAGAGAGAGAGAGAGAGAGAG